TTATATAGAGTGTTGTTTAACGCTTATATAATAATAATAATAGCTAGACTATTAATTAGTCGCGGTTAACGTTAGACTAAACCCTGGTGGTATTGATACTAGGTTTTGTCGAGGGATAATTGTTTTGAGATAACGAAGCGCTGTTCGAGGGCAGAATTGCCACTTTTTCAGGTGAGTGCATAGTCTCTTTCATCTTACACATAGATATGAAGTATATAATATAAATTACGTGCTATGTGTGCATATTGTCTGTATACTTGTTGTCTATGCTGGGTGAAAGATTTTTTTACATGTTTTAAATGATTTAAAATGTATATATATTTTATATCTACAAAATATGTTGGGTAAAACATGGGTAGATGAAATATGAGTCGGATGATGATGTGAGAGGTGAAATAGACCATGAGGTGAGGGTGAGAGGTGGACGATGTGAGAAGCCTTGTACCCAAATGATGGCCCCGTCATCTAGTAGAGTATAGATGACAACCACAGACCATTCTAGACAGTCCAGTGGAACACTAGCAAGCTCGTAACCTGTAGGTGTTGTGAACGATGTGTTCACCGGTGTACTGTAAAAACCCATTGACATGTATTGCGAGTGGATTCTCGGAAACGATACTGTTGATAAACGAAATAGCCCTGGCAGCTATGGATTTAGTGTCTGCTGAGTAAACCCTGTAAACTATGGATTTAGTGCCTGTTGAGCAAACCTGACAACTATGGATTTAGTGCCCGTTGAGTAAACCCTGACAACGATGGATTTCGTGCCTATTCCTTAGGATGATCCTTAGGAATGAATGAACAAGAAATAGCTGATTCTTAGGGTAGATTTTTAAGAGTAAATAACATAATGGGGATGAGTAATTGGGTTAATTGTTTGATGATTAAATAATTATATTATTGTGGGTTGAAAACTCTATGTACTCACCAGGTTTCTCAAATTGACCCACTCAGTTTATTTGTATCACAGGTGTCGATATGAAATTACATTACACTGAGAGATTTAAAAGAGATGTAGATCACTAGTGTAAATGAATGTAAGTTCTGTTTATGCTTATGTTTCTGTATTGACGATGACATCCTAAATGTTTTAAAAGTGAATAAAAATACATTTTTTTAGAAATGCTTTGATAACGTATTTATCATATTTTACTGGGAACAAATTCTGCAACATTTTTATTGAAAGAAGAACTCTGATTTTTATAAAGCATAAACAAAATCGGTCTTTTCTGGCCGTAAAAATGGGGATGTCACAACTCCGTATCTTCGTCCTCAAGATGGCACTGGGAGCATGTTGAGTTTATGATTGTGACTCCTCTCTTCTTTAACGCCAAGTTGGTTGGGATACGGCCCAGATTAGCTTTCCAAATAAAGGCATTAACCTTTATAGGAATATCATGAATCCATAGGATGATTACTTCATTGTTCTCCGGTTCTATATTATCAATCTTTAGTTTGATCGCCTCTACGTGAAAGGTACCATCCTCCGATAAGGGGCAGTTCCATTTATCGGGTTCTGAGGATGGCTGGTGGTCACCAATGACATCATACAACATCCGAAGGCTATGAATCTGTTCATCAGATGCAGGGGGTGTTCTCCATTCCCAAGTATGGCCCTCCGCTTGTACTCTTTGACTGACCCTGCAAGTCTTACGTCTTTCAAGCAGATAGAGTTTTGGGAATTTATCCTTTAACGGCTCGCCATCACACCACCCGTCCCTCCAGAAGAGGGTGTCGTTACCATTCCTCACTTGTTTCTTAAATATATCTTGAAGGCTTATCCCAGCCTTAGTTAGTTCATTCATCACCTCCGCCATATTGTTCCACACACTTGGAATAGTTCTTTTTGATAAAACATTATCAGGTTTGTTTTGCAGATTATGAATACCCATAATTACACGACTCCATAAGGCTGTTTTATTTGTTTTTAATGCCCACCACCATTTGACAATCATTGATATGTTACAGGCTCTGAGTGAGCCTAGACCAAGTCCCCCTCTATCCTTTGGAGCAACAACCTTTTCCCACGATACCCAAGCAATTTTGTACTTGTTATCACTCCCACCCCATAAGAACTGCCTACGAATCTTTTCAAGAATGTCAATAACTCTCACTGGAGCCACAAATATAGAGAAATAATACGACGATAGGCTGCCAAGGACCGCTTTGGCTAAGGTTAATCTTCCTCCAAAGGAAAGCGCTTTCGATTTCCAAGGCGAGAGTTTAGAATAAAAACGATCAATTATAGGCTTCCAGTGCTTCTTTAACTTCATGTGTACGCCTACCGGGGCCCAGGTATGTAAAGGGCAGCGAAGCTGGTTGACAACCCAAAGGTGCAGCCCATCGAGACACCTCAGACATGTCAACTCCAACACCAAATACCCTGGATTTGTTGAAGTTGACCTTCAATATTGACGCCACCTAAAAGCATCTTAACACCCTTGTTAAGTTCTTAATGTTTCTTTGACTCCATTCTTCCATAAAAAATGGCGTCATCAGCATAGAACAGGTGAGAGATTGAAATTTCTGAACGTGGTATTTTTATTCCATGGAAAAGACCCTTCTGGCAAGCTACTTTCATCGCGACGTTGAGTCCCTCCATAACGATTATAAATAAGAATGGTGAGAGTGGGTCCCCCTGCCTCACACCTTTTTCCATTCCAAATTCTGCCGTTGGAGACCCATTTATAAGTACCGAAAGTCTAGCTGATTGAAGGCACCCCTTAATCCACATACGCCATTTATCTCTGTATCCCATTTGAATAAGGATCGATTCAAGGTACTCCCAATTAACAGAATCGAAAGCTTTTTCTAGATCCACCTTGAATAGTAGAACCTATTTTTTTTTCACCTTCTTGGCCCAAATACATAACTCATTTACAATTAGCGGTCCATCGAGGATATTACGTCCCTTCACGAAAGCAGTTTGGGTATCTCCAACGTTGTTTCCAATCACCACACTGAGTCTGTTAGCTAAGATCTTGGAGATTATCTTTTATAGACAGCCAATTAAGCTAATTGGCCTGTAATCACCCAGGTGCAATGGGTCCTTTGTCTTTGGTACAAGCGTGATGAAGGACGAGTTACACCCCCGCTCCAACTTTCCGTATTTCTCAAAATATTTAACGAATTCCATAATATCCCCCTTCAATACATCCCAATATTTTTTAATAAAGTCAAAGGTGAATCCATCTGGGCCGGTTGCCTTATCCCCTCCACATGCCCAAACAGCTTGTTTGATTTCTTCAGGCGTGAAAGGATACTCAATTCTAGAGCTAGATACCGGATCTAGCATATTAAATTCACTAGTGATAAGCTTTGGCCTGGAAGGCCAACATTCTTGAAATTTTTTCCTGATAGAACAAAAATACTTCACCTTTAATTGCTGCCACATTTGTGTTCCAAGATCCATTGATAATAAGTCCATGAATGTAGTTCTTACTCTTCTTATTATTCACATACCCGTGGAAAAAACGGGTATTCTCATCTCCATCAACAGTTCATCGTAATCTAGCCTTTTGTTTTAAATCAAGAACAACCAATTTTTCAAGCTCAGTTATCCTTTGAATTCCAAGTCTCCTCTTCTCTATTTCCAAGTCTGTTAACGATTTAGATTCAGCAGTTGTATCTAGATCATGTAACCTGTGTTTGAGCTTCAACAGTTCGTCCAACTCTTTAGGGTGATCCCTTGCTCTCCACTTCTTGATTTCATTTTTAAGGAATCGAAGTTTGGCAGCCAGATAAGCGTCCGGTTTGCCATATCCCCTGAATTTCTCCCAAGATTCCTTAATAATCTGCTCGAAGCCGTCCCTTTTCATCCAAGAGTTGAAGAATCTAAAAGGTGGTTTGCCAAAATCAGCTTTGCTGGTCTGAAGTATGACTGGACAATGATCTGAAATCTCCCTTGGAGCGGCTGTGATTGACACAGAAGGGAATTGTCTTAGGAAGTTATTGCAAACAAGAAATCTATCTAGTTTGCTCATCTTGCCATCCGACTGGCAGAAATAGGTGAATCTGTGTCCCCCCATTCTGAGATCATGTAGACATTCTTTTCCAATGAATCGATTAAACCAGAAAGCTTCAGAAGGATTAAAATGAGAATTATATCTTTCACATTCCTTCCTTACGGTATTAAAGTCTCCAAAAATTATCCAAGTTCCAGCTTTAGTGGATTTAATCCGACCTAGGTCTTCCCAAAGCTTCTTTTTGTTTTGTGGTTCTTGAGGACCATAAACGTTTGCAAAAATCATTTGACTTTGAACTCCAGACCACTTACCAATTGTGATTAAGAAGTGTCTCGCCTTTATGACTTCTTCTACCTGGGATAACTTGGAGTCCCAAATGCTGAGTAATCCACCCGATCTTCCAGTGGAAGGTGTTGCTGCAAATCCGAAATCTCCATTATACCAGCAACCAGTTACGTCTATGTCATTTTCATCGGATAATTGTGTTTCCTGCACACCCAGGAACGTTGTGTGGTATCTCATTGTTAACCTTCGCACCCATGAGACCTTATACTCTTCTCTGATTCCCCTAATATTTAGACTTAGACAATTCATCAGGCTTTGTTCATTTCTCCGATTACTCCCATTGTTTCCAGTAGTACCGGGTTAGATGAATTAATCTCGAAACCCAGTTCCTTACCAACCTCGACTGTTTTTTCCACTTCCGCAGAATGAGACCTGGATGAGCACGAAGATGTCCCATTGGACATATCCTCAGGGGTTTTATTGAGATCGATGCTGGTGGGGATATGGTCAATTTCAATTGCATTCTTTTCTTGATTCTCCATGACAGAAGGGAGAGCGTGCTCTGGTTCCGATAGGTCTATCATCTGGGGTATTAAATTAAGGGGAAAGTCTGACCCGAAATTATCATTCCATTTTGGTTTGCCTAATGACCCAGAAATTATTTGGTTTTGGACTGGGGTGTATGGTGCTCCATCAATATTAAGAGATGGGAAGGGCCCAAAGCACCCATGGGGGAGCCCATTAACTATATTATTCGCGTGGGCCATTGGAGGGGGGGGTGGTAATTGCTTCAGTGGGCCTAATCGTATCTTCTCGATTCTGGGGAGATGAGGGTGTACCGTTACTAATTATTGCCGTATGGTTCCCAGGCGGCGATCCATCTGACTCCATAGGAACTGTCAACGGTCGTTGTGGATTCCGAGATGTCTCTTGGACTACTCTAACCGACACCGTCGATTCCTCCGGCATAACCAAGATTTTGCTCACCGTCGGCGACCTTTCACCCTGAATTGGTTCCTCCCTTACAGCTGAATATTCCTTGCCTTTGAAGACTGGACTAATTTCTCCTTCCTCCTTTTCACCGTTGTCTTCCTGCATCCACGTATCAGAGACTCCATCTTCATCGTCGTCTTCTTCATCAGTTCCACCGACTTCACTTGGTTCTTCTTTCTCATAGTAATCTTCGTTGGGATCAAACTTAAAAGGAAACCAATCTTCATCGAATTCAATAATACCAAGTTTTATAAGCTCTCCTTCGAATGATACAAAAATCTCTTCATTTATTCTCGTCCTTCTTTCAGTGAGAATTCCGATTTTTACACAGGAAAGATCCACACGATTAGGAAGTTCATCAAATGGTGCAATTGTGGCCCCATATCCTTCTGTTATTTTTGCAAAGTTACTTTCCCCCCATAGATGTAGAGGAAGACCCATGATCCTAATCCATGCAACCCTATCAAATTCTCGTTCTATCTTGTCTCCCCAGTCAACCCATTTCAGGTGTTCTTGCCATCGTTGCTTATTATCTCTGAACTCCTTTGCAGTGATGGAGTCGTTGAACTGCAACAGGACTTTCAGTCCCCCCATGTATTTGATTTCCATGAGAATGTCATTTATGATCAATAGCAGCTTGGGCAAGTGTCCCAAGTGATCTAACGACATTGCCTCTCGTCTTCCTTAACCAACTTTGTGTATCTCTGTGTAGGACAATATGTGGGGGAATTGGAGGCGGTGGCGGGGGTGCAGTGTGAATATTCTTTCTCTGACCAACAACTTCTGCAAACGTCTTATGATCCCTTGACCTCCCCACACCCCATGTAGGGGTTTTTTCGTAATGAAGGTGCTATTGTGTCTCCCAGCAGGGTTGCTGTTTATGTTCTTTGCCATGGTCAGAGGCTCTTTTCTCTTGTGTAACGCCAGATTCACCTCTAGTTTTCTTCCCCTAACCGTTGTGCCGTTGAGTCTCTTCTCCATGTCTTTTACATTCTTCACATCCGCAAACCTGATGAATACGTAGTATTTTCCATTCTTTCCTTTTCTCATCCCCATGAACACATCCGTCAATCTACCAAATCCGATGAACGCATCATAGATCTCCTTCTTTGTGGCATCCTTTGGAACATTTGTAACAAAGAACGTGATTATCTCTCTACCTATATATCTTCTCTGATGTTCTTCTCCTTCGAACTTACTTCCAGTCTTGTTCTCCAGCGTCTTCCATAGCAAGGCTCAGGCCCAACGAGATACCACACAACGTTCCTGGGTGTGCAGTGGTCCAAAATGTGTTAAGATTAGTGTGTTAAGATCAAGTTGTCCTCATGTGTTTTGGGAGCTAGGACCGAAAGTGAAAGCAAAGTATCTCATTTATCTACTTCAATGTCAATTTGATGATGAAATGTTTCACGTTTGTAAATAAATAGTATTTGTAATAACGAAAGAAATTGTTAATAAAAACATATATTTTTGTCAACAAGTAGAAAAAATTGTTGAGATCAAGGAGAAATTAAAATGTAAATTTCAGTCATCGATTGAGAAATTAAGATAGATAAATCGAGTTTGATGATATATATAACAGAATAGACTAAAATTTATGACATATTAATGGATGGAAAGTAACTGATTGATGTAGGGAAACTGTATGTTATAGTTATACTTTGAAGACAAAAACTTCATAAATAGTCCCTCTGATTTTCCAGAATATGTAATATAGACTTTAACTTTAAAAAATTCATAAAAAGTCCATATGATTTTTATTTTCTATCATGGTTGGTTCATGTCCCACCTAAAAAGAATTTTATATTCCTTCTATCATGGTTGGTCCATGTCCCACCTAAAAAATTCATAAACGAGTTTGTTAATAAAAATAACCACCTTATTTATTTCTATTTTTTTTTGAGAAATGACCACTTTCTCCGTAATATCCTATTCCGGAGCACGTAACATCATTCCGGACTTGGTTCGTCCAAAATATTCCGGAATACGATATTCCAAAGTATATATTTTGTTGGTGGTTGGTAGAAATTAGGTCCAAAATCTGACACCCCGTACATTCCAGACAGAAAAAGTGAATCCTGGACTGTAGTCCGGAATACCCGTACATTCCAAAGGGCTGTTCCGGAGAGGTAAAATTAGGATATTTGTGTGTTTTTGTTCCATATATGCAATATATTTGTGTGCTTGATACTTTCCTTACATGTTCCATAATGAGTATGTATACGAGATTTTTTTGAGTGTCAGTTTCTAGTGGAGGGCAATGACAGCGTACGAGGGATCTATGCAATATATTGCTCCATACTACACATGCTTTGGTGTAGATATAAGCAATGATATCAATTTCGTTGGATTAATTACGTTGGTTGTTTCCAAGTCCAGGTTACACACTAACCAAATATGTCTATCTTTTCAATGTCTTGGACAAATATAGTTATGCATATTCTTAACGATAATGATGTAAGATATTTTCTTAGTTTTGTTAGTAATATGTCTTCCAACACAGTACAATTGTTTGTTGTTAATAATGTTTTGGAACGTGGTATTCATCAATTTGTCGGGGAAAATCATTTTGGTGGAAATGGGTCTTTTAGTGCTGGCAATAACCAAATTTGTAATTTATTACCTATGAAAACCAACCATGTTCCTTCTTACAATGACCCTACAAATGGGGGTTATTTTAGGTATAAATGTAAGGTTGTTGCTGGCGTTTCTCATACAGTTGATGTTGATGAATTAGCAAACTATGAGGCAAAACTAATGATGTCGGTTGATGATGGTAATATAATTGCAAATGGAGAGCCAACTGAACATTTTCAGAGTTACACTAAATTTGATGAAGAAGATACTGAAGGTGAAGAGGAAGAAACTAATCCTTTACAACCCTAAAAACCACAAGAGGGAAAGTTTCCTTTTATTTTCCCGATTCTGAAGAAACACAAACCACCCATTAGGGTATGCCCGAACCTTTACCATTGCCCGAATTAGCTCAACAAAAACGTAAATGTGTCATAGCCCACAATTATACATGCTATGTGAAGTTATACCAACTCTTCAAAAGCAAATAATTTAAGCTGGATTTAGGATTCAAAAGTGTTACTGAAGGCTTCCAATATAAAGTGGAAAAATTCACAAAAGACAGGTTTGAAGTTGTTTGCTTTATGGATAATTGTGATTGGCGGATACGGGCAACAAAACATAATACTACTGATACATTTCAAGTGGTTAAACTATCAGAGAAACACACTTGCTCAAAGACATAACTACATCCACATCACCGACAAGCCAACAAAAAGGTATTGGGTCACTTCTTGAAGGGCATAATAGTACATGTAATATGTTGCGGGGGAAACAGATACAACGAACTTTAAATGACCGTCTTAGTATACATATTTCATACTGGAAAGCATGAAGTGCTAAAATATATGCTCTAAATCTGTTGAGATGGACCCCTGAAGAAAACTTTCAAAAACTACCTTTATATTGTTACAACTTGGAAGAAGAATCCAAGGATGGTTACACATATAAAGACGAGTTATGACAACAAATTTGAATACTTTTTCATGTCTATCGGTTGTGCAGTAATATTTCTTATATAACGAGTTCTTTATATTTAATGTTGTTTGACGTGTGTTCACTTTAATGAGTAATATTAAATACTTTTTAGGTTCGAGCGTTTCGAACAAGTTTGTGTCTTATTATTATCATTGACGGAGCAGATATTAAAGGGAAATAATTAGGCATCATGTTCCTAGTAGTAGGCATGGATGGTAATAACCAAATCCTCCCTATTGCATTTGGTGTTGGGAAAACTGAAAGTGGGGAGTCATGGATATGGTTTTTTATCAAGACTCAAAGAATGTATTGGGGACATGTCGTTTTTGGCTATCATGTTAGATAGAGCCAATTCAATTGAAATGACTATTCAAGATGTGTTCCCGAATGCATATCATGGACTCTGTTGTCACCATTTGTTGATGAATATGAGAACAAAGATCGAAAAACAAGAGAGAACATAATTTTTGTTTTGGGAGGCTGCAAAAGCTTACCAACAGTCTGATTTCAAATAAAGCTTGGGTAGGCTACGCCGTGCACTGAACGAAGACTATCATACATGGCTAGACAAAATAGGTTTCGAGAAATGGGCAATGTCATGTTTCCATGTGGTTCAGTACAATATTATGACATCAAACAACGCCGTGTCAATTAATTCGTTATCAAGAGACGTACAAAACTACCAATAACAATGTTGATTGATTTCTTTCGAGCAACTATGCAACAATGGTCGTGTCAACGACGTAATGTTGGAGGTAAATATTTATATTATAATACTTCCATGATAATTGTTGTATAATTTTCTGTGCATGACAAGATATACGTAAAAAAAATTATAGCTGAAAGCAAAAAAGATATCACTGAGTATGCTGAGAATGTTATCGATAGGAGGATCAACAAATCCTCGTGTTTCCGGGTATACGAGATTGATCAAAGCAGATATGAGGTGACTAACCAAATGAAAAATGGTATATTAAACTTGGAATCTCATTGTTGCACGTGTGAGAAATGGAAATTTTCAGGTATACCTTATGTCACAACTAGCATTTTTGCTAGGAAATTCTCTCTCATGTAATCATTCACCTAGTGTAATAACTTGTACTCTGAGAGAATATCATACTCTATGCTCATTCAAATACATCTCATGTGTTCAACTAAGGGCCGAAAACCCTAAGAATCCCGGTTTAAGTCCATTATGGACTAGGATTTCCTTATTGGGCCTAATGGACCAATAAGCTTCCAATTTGACTATTTTGGGCTTAGGACCCTTAAATGGGCTCTATATGGACCCACTTTCATGAAACTTAACATTTTGGGCCATAATGGGCCTAAAATAAATTTGTTTATCCCTAATGGGCCTTATTGGGCCATAACTAATCCAATTAACCCTAGTAAGCCATAAATCCATTCTTTTATGCCATTTTGGGCCGTGAATTGCCCTAAAGGCCCAATGGGCCGAAAAGCCATTATTAGGCCTTATAATTTCGAACCAAGGCTAGAAATGGGCCAAGCTAATCTACCTCCCTTCTCTTTAGCCCATTTTCGGCCCAAGTAAAAAAAAAGAGAAAGGAAAAGGAGGATTTCCTAACCATTGACCCCTAACCTTTATTTGTTGGGTATCCATGCAAGGGTGCATGTACCCATGCACCTATCACACCACCATTAATCAAACTCTATATCTCTTCCCTCTCTTCTTTCATTCTCGGCAAAAGATAAACACACACACACACACACACACACACACTTCACTTGCAAACTTCTCTCAAATAATCTCTCAAACACTCACAATAACACTCCTTCCTTTCCTCTTAAATTTTCGAAGATCTAGGGTTGTTCAAGAAGATTTCCACCAAAAATCATCATTCTCTTGGTAAGTCCTTACATATCCAAGTGATATAACTTCATTCTCATGTTGGATCACTCCTTCTAAGCAAGTTTTTGGTGGTCATACTCCTAGAAACCTCCTAAGTTCGAGATCCACTCAAGAAAGCTTGCTAGGACCAAAAATCTCTTCACTTCTTCTCCAAAACCGAAACATCAAAATAAAGGTGAGTTCATACCCCCTATTTTCGATTTTTACTTGTTTTTGGGGGAGAATACAAGTTGCTTTATGTAGA